ACTTTTGTCGGATTTTACATATATAATAATAATAATAATAATACGGATATACATATTATATAATATAATATATATATATATATATATATAATATAATATTATTATAGTATATATTATATATTATATTATATATATATTATATACATATTATATATATATATATATATATATTATATATATATTATATACATATTATATATATTATATAATAATATTACGGATATACATATTATCCAACAGAGACGTGTACACGATTAAACTCGATTTTCAAAGAAATATTGAAATACTTGTAAATTTGGGCATTTAACGTTATTTCTGTGAGAACTGATAATATTCGTCACTGACTGTAAAAGCGTCGATACAATAATGTACATGTTTCTGTCGTATCCCGGGCATCTCGCAGTTTATTCATCGAATCGATAAACTGTGCCAGTTAATGCACTTTGCGATCGAATCATCCGCTTATTTTTGATCTGCAGTTTATAGAACAGCTTGCATATACATTGAGCCATGTTCATATTTTAATATGTAATGTAATATTTATATAGGAGCGTATGTATATTATGTTTCTTTTGTTTCTTTTTATGAATACAGACTTCGACGCGTGGCCTATTATTCCCCTATTCGTCGAATCGAACGGCTGAAAAAAAAAAAGAAAAGAAAAATGTTCGATACGATTTTTCGTTCATCACCCGGGAGATGCAATTCTTGTTGATCCCGTGGATCGTGCGTGACTTAAAATTTATGTGCAATCTTAAATTTAAGCATATCTCCGAACGCTTTCGAAAAGAAACAAAAAGTCAAGTTACCTTTGATGAATGAAATACTCGGGTTTTTTAATTAGACATTTTAACGATCGTTGTTGGCGGAATTCGAAGACCAGCAGCAGCATGCTTGGCTTGTTGGTGTTCAAATACTTTTCTGTTCGCGTAGATCCCATGAGAGAACATATAAGTAGGCCACGTTGCGTTGTAGCTTGTCAAAATAAAAGGAATGCGAATTGTTAAGTATTATGATAATGACGAGAAATAGGTTGAAACGCGTTGAGAGAGGTGTCTAGTGTAATATTGTAGTTATTATTCGTTATTACTTATTATTTTTTAAATACACAACACAAGCACATTACACACAAATGCATGCCGGATGGGGTATTTTTTGTCTCATCGTCGCGGGCGTGTGGAACTGATTACACACGAAAGAAAATGCGTTTTTGTAGAAATTTGACGCAACAAAAGAAGAATACAATCTTGTAAGAGTGCGATAAGGACCATTGAAAATATTTATTAATACATATATATAATAATATTATATATTAATATAATATATATATATAATATATATATATATATATTATATATTATATATATTACAATATATTATATTATATTACAATATATTATATTATATTATAATATTATATATATTATTATATATATTAATATTATAATATATTAATATATTTATTAATATTTTGCTTATCGATCGTACATTTGGTTTCGATAGAAAATGTTAGAAAACACCGAGAATAACAGAAGAAAAGAGATCGCCTAGCCCTCGAAAGTCATCCGTTGCGGTAAATTGAGATTGCAATCGTTTTTTCCTACGTTCAAAGCTAATTACAAGTCGTGCGTTTCTTGTTCGCGTCATTGACAGAAATTTCTATAAAACCGACGCATCACTATAGGCACTAATGATTGTATTTCTTCGTTTTATTCCGCCAAAGTGCGCGTGAATCATTTTGATAGTCAGCTTCCGTTAGGAAATATATTTATTTATTTAATATATATCTATGTCTATATATTATATGCAGATGTATTTTTGCCGAAGCCCGAAACAAACAGTCGTGTATTCGCTGCATTAAAATATATTCTATCGTAAACAGTGTTTCCGAATCTTCGCTTGACTTTTCATTCAATATAGAATCATTTGTTCTAACGAAAAATTTCCATCGTTCAAAAATTACCGCCGGAGCCATTCGAATGGAGATTACGCGAAGATGGCGGGATAAGATAGTTGTCCTCTGCCACGCTGCTTGGCCCTCTGGTTGTCGCTGTTGCGTACTAAATTATCCCACTAGGTAACCAGACGAAATCACCGAATATAAAATATTCAGTTAAAGGTACGTTTTCATTACGGGGAAGCCAATCCGCAGCCAATCGTTGCACACCGAAGAGAGACTTTACGATAATCAAGTTTGATTTGCTCTTACGTGGCGACAGGGTTTTCAAACGAGTTCATACCGATGAACCGACATGTACATATAATTTATCCCGGTTTTGCGAACCTATCTGGTACGATGTAAAACGTTCGTGTTCAATGGAGTACGGTAGTCCGACCGATTGTTAGAAGCGTCATTGGGAACGTTTCGATTGAAATACTTATATTTATATGTCAATAAAATTAGCAGAACGCGCAACACGCCTGAGAAATATCTAGCTAAAGGAAAAAGAACGTTTATTAAGTGAGTAGTTGTACGTTTCTTTTGGATAAGGGAAGACCCGCGCGTTTCCTGAGTAACCATAAATCCGACTATTATTCGAACCTTTCTGAATAAATATTTATCGCATGTAATTGACCGAATCGCTTCTTATCGTTCAAATAATTCGCGTAACCAATAACTGTTTGTTTTATACAGTAAGATTTTCTCTATATAATTCAAAGTACTTGTCACTATTTATTTGAATTGATAGTTTATTAATTGATAAAACAAAGCTTGAACCATTTATTCGGTGGATATGTAACTCGGATACAAAATTTATTGTGTAAACCGTGTAGCACGCACTAAAAGTTTTAACCGTAGCTCGTAAGTGTGAGCAATTTAGAATACAAGCTGAAAACATTGTAACAGTTTCAAGGTTTTAAAGAATTGTGCGTATACCAATATTAAATTTTCGTTATCATTAAATTAAACATTTTTTTATACTTTTTTAAAATCCAGTATGCGTGCAAGTGAGCTACTTTATTTCATAACATTAACATTAATTATTTTTTAGAAATGAGGAGGAAAAGCGAAAGGAACAAAGCAAAAGGGACTCCGGAAAAGGAAGTGGGGAAACCAACTAGAAAATCAACGCGTAGACGAGTGAAAAAAACACATTCTATGTCACCGGAGCCAGAAACTGTGGAGGAGACAGGGAAAAGCATCGCTAGCAAAGAGACAGACAAGAAATTAATTGCATTCACACTCCAAAGAAAACAGTTGGAAGATATGGTAGAAGACTGTAACGAAACAGTAACATCCACGGAAACCGATATCAAGATAAAATCTGAAGAACATGAAGAAGACAACGATGGTGGATCGGTTTGGAAAGTAGCAAGAGCAGACGCATCGCCTGGCGAAATACAGAAGCTGAAGTTATGCAGACAACATAATATGACAGAATCATCATCCGATAGTTCTTTGAGTAGGAAAAAATCGAACAAGTGGCAAGAAAGTGGTGAGGGAGTTGCGGAGGAGGCTGACTCGGCAGAAGAGCAACTGGTTTCTTGTACAAGAATGCTCAGTAGCACTGAACAGCCGAACGATCCCTCCTCTTCATACCCAGGTCAGGACTCCAACGAAGAGGTAAGTGATAGCAAGGAGATCCTGCCTGAAACCACTTCAGCCAACTTGTCTGACGATAAACCAAACATAGATCAGCAAGGTGAATCAAAAGAGGCAAATATCCCGATCGAAAACGCTGATAACGAACCGATTAAGTCGGATAGCACACCTGTTGTGTCGGCTCCTAGATCAAACGGCGATCGCTCATCCGAGGAGACGAACGATGCACCAAAGGAAGAAAAGTCCGTGGAAGATACCAGCGATAAGTCAGCAGAACCGTTCAACAAAGAAATAACCGTCGAAAACGTTCAGAAAGATACGAGCACCGATGAGGAAGAAGACGAGAAAGAAAAACCTCGCGAAGTAGTAAATTCTACGTCTGAATCGAACGATGAAGTTCAAAGTACCAGAAGTAACAGAACGAGCAGCAGAATATCCTGCGCCAGTCGTAGAAAGCATCGAACTAAATATCGAGACTCGTCCAATTCCGATACACCAGACTCAGAGGATGAACTTCCCATTAAAAGGGACATTGAAATTGATTCTTATATGCAAGAAGAGAAATTAGCTGCAGATGACTCGCATAAACCGAAAGATCGATCGGTATCACCAAAACCGAGGAATAATACTTTGCTAAACAATGTGGAAGCAGAAGCTGAAAATATTGAGGAGAATAATCAGAAATCAGATAGTCTAAACGAGAAATCAGAGTATTCTGTGTCGGCAGTGGTCCAATTAGCCACTTCTAAGCCTGTGAAAGTAAATTTGAAGAGATCATTGTAAGCACAAATTGAACAACTATTTCATAATATTATAATAATTCATTATAGTAATGCATTCGTTCTCTAATTTTCGAAAATAAATTTTAGCTCTGCAAGAATATTGATGGAGAAGAATGATGTGAAAAAAGAAGATACCGATGCGAGTGTAAACAACGAAACAGTTGTATCAAATAAGGTCCGTCAATTTAATGTGTATCAAGTAACTTTAATCAACCTAGAAAATTACAGTTATACAGATGTATTTGGTAAACTAATTCCATATTGTTGCTTAACAGGAGAATCTTGATAATGCCGAGGTAGAATCAAAATGCGTTCCGAGAAAACGACGATGGGGCACTGCATTGTCTACAGATACCACGCCTTCGTTTTCAATATCTACTGATTCGCTGAAGGTAATATTCTTGTTCGTTACTTATACAAATGCGTTTCTCTGGTTAATATAATTTATCTACTAGAATATTTTACATATGTATTTTATAGGCGTTGGTGCCAGGGGCAAGGCCGCTGTCAATAAACGAAGTTCGTTTGTCCAAAGACGACGACGAAGACAGAGATCGTTTCCGGGCCAATGAAAAGTGGTACAATACTAACGAAGGGGCGAACGATAACAAGTCAGACAGTGAAAGTGTCACGCAAAAGAACGGTACCGCGAAAAAGGGAGATGGGAAGGTCGACAATCATATAGGTATTTAAAATAATAAAATGCTAATAATAAAATATGTTGCTCGTGTGTGTTTATCGTCTGAACTTGTACTTTATTAGCAGTGCGCCGAAAAATATCAATCGTAAAGGAAACGCCGCACATAAAATCACCCAGTCCACCGGCCACGAAGCCCACTAATATACTGTTGATCAAAAATTTGGTTCGTCCTTTCACTCTGAATCAAATCAAGGAACTTCTTTCGCGTACCGGCACGATCGTTGAAAATGGTTTTTGGATGGACAGAATTAAATCCAAATGTTTTGTAGAGGTGTGTATGTCTTTAAGTCGTTGCGACATTGATACAGAGCAACCAAGAACTAATCGATGTTGTGAAATTATCCAGTATGCAAACGAAGATCAGGCGTTCGAAACACGGCAAGCTTTACACGGTGTATCTTGGCCAGTTTCGAACCCGAAGAGGCTTCACGTTGAGTATGCAACCAAAGATGACATGGAATTGGCGCGGGAATTGTCCAAAGATCAATCTATTCCAAGGAAAACTGAGACACTTGTACCGGATTCGTGGCAACAAGATTGGAATCGAGAGGAAAAAGCTAACACAAAGGTAAGTAAACTCGAGAGGCAAAAGTTCCTACTGTTTGGAGTCCAACGGTGTTAGTTGTACATTGTTTGAACGAGTCTTACACTAAACAGGTGATGGTAGTCCGAGAATGGGATCTAGGCAAAGAAGATGGGCAGCACATGAAAGAGAAGGAGCGCGAAAAGAAGGATCATGATAAAAAGAGGAGACAAAGGAGTCGGAGTCCCGCGGTGGAAGCGCATCTTCCAGCTCCGGCACGTAAATTCAAAAAGAAAGAAGATGAACCACCGCCAGCTAAGCTTTTAGACGATCTCTTTAGGAAGACGAAAGCTACTCCTTGCATATACTGGTTACCACTTACAAACGAGCAGGTGCGTTAGAGCGTTGAACAGTCATATAATTTTATTGCCTGACTAATTAAAAATTACGTTATTACAGATCGTCGTGAAAGAGGAAATGAGAAGGCAACACATGGCAGAACACGCACGTAGATTAGAAGAGATGAGACGCGCGGAAAGAAATAACAGGGACGGCCGCCGTCGTCGCAGCCCAAGAAAATAGTTCTTTGATCGTCCAATTTCGATAAACGTACCTTTCCTTCTCTAATGCAAACACTCCGATTTTCATCAGTTCCCCGTTTTTTTAAAACGATCTCTAATCGTGGAAAGCAAGAGATCATTTCTCTTTCTTTTCATAGACTATGAACACTGGTATCCTTATTGGTTATTGGTTGCATCAATTAGCGTTTTTAATATGTTGCGTTGGCGATTGTTAAATCTTTTTCTTTATTTTTTTTTTGTTCAAGAAATTTGATAGAGTCTGGTTTATGCTGTCAAATGTCCTTTATTTCTTTTTTATTTCAAGCCCTTAGACATTCTATTCTCTCTTTTTTCTTATCTTATAATTCTACTAGTTTCGTTGTATGAAAAACCATACAGAATCCACTGCATGATCCAGACGTGTTCCGCTTCCGGATTCCAGCTTTCCTGAATTTCAGCATTAAACTGTACTTCTTACAGGTCAACATTAACTATTCAACAGAGTGGCGTAATTATAGAATGAACACACGATAGTGTTTACATCGTCTAGGAGACACGCATCATAGCGCGGAGACCCTGGGAATCGAAGAATAAGTGAAAGCACACGAAACGAAACTGTCCGTAGAGAAATACTACGAAGCGAATATACAATATTCGTGGTCATTGAAAATACTGTCTCAAAAAAGAAAAAGGTATTAAATAAAACAGAAAAAAACATCGAAGATAGGCTGGTTGTTGGAACCAACGACGAAAGCCGTCCGAGATGACGAGAATGTGGTTTATCGTTTGACACGAAGAAATCAACCTAAGTAACCACAAGAGAATTTTGTTCTCTAATCCTGGATTATTCGTTTCTGTCATCTGCTTGTAGCGTAGCCCGACTTCCTTGAGTTTGACATGTACTGCCGAATTTGGCAGTAAAATGTAAAGTTCTGATGTTTCTCGGTGAAATCGCACAACCGAAAACACGTTTGTACATAAAGTATAATTCGATATTCCATAATGTGACATGTAAAATTATCAATAAATGTAAAACACTTTAGGATATATGCAAAACTATATATTTGCCGCTTACTTTTTACGATATCACGTTTGGAAAATTTGTTACTTCATCCTTGAATATGACGAAAAAAATATATATACATGCTTTATACGGAACAACGACAACTGATTCGTTACGTTCATCTTATCGTTGTATGTGATCCAGGACACACTATTGCATAAATGTAACTCGCAGGCACTGTCAACCAAGAAAATGCGCGACTGACAAGTTGGAACCAAGTTTGTTGGCAAGGTCACAAGTGAAGAGAATGTGGATGTAAACTTACTCGATCTTTATTTATATTAACATTATTAATGCTAACGTTGTAATTGCTTTAATTTACAAAATTCACGAATTACAAGATGTGTGCATGTCAGCTATTAATTAAAAAATATTTCAGTCACAACTACTATTGGTAGAAAAAGAACCAAAATTTTCAAGTTCGCCATTGGAATTAATGATCAGTTTGTACACTATGTATCTTTCTGCTATTAAACTAAAATTCCCGACGTTACTTTCGAGAGATACTTTTCCATGTTTCAAATAAAACTTGGTAACATAATGTACAAGGTTTAATACTTTTTTCGCAAGTATCACGCGAGAAAATACATTTTTTTACACCTACAAGCTTAGTCGGAACAAGAAAAAAAAATCAAACTGTACTAAGCTATACGAAATGTATCCTTTGTGGTCTATCGCACTTTTTTTTTTGATGCGATCGATATTCTCAAAAGAATGTACCTTCGAAGAGGAATTTCTTAGCGCTTGTAAATGATTGTTCCGGTATATCACGTTACATTCAGTTTACAAAATAACACCAAAGTGTTAGACTACAAAGGATCCTTTATCATAAACTTGGTAGAAAATGCGTATATACGTTACAATTATAATTTACGATCCAGAAGTTTATGAAATACTTGGCAAATTGAATATACGACAAAAAATGTTTTGTTATTTACATTGTAGACTGGTGGTTTTAATTACGCGCTTACGATATAGAGTACTCTATCGATTAGATGTTACACCTGGATTACATAATTCGTTTGTAACATGTATAAACGTATCTTTGTAACGTCGATACGTCTGCTACATTATCAAAAAGACTCGTATCAGAGAATAATTCAACCGTGATTGCATTGATCAATTCGCGTCATTCTCAGGCAACAAAACAAATGATTAATGACCTGATTCGAGATTTTTATACACATGTTTCGATATGATAACAAATTAATCATTTGCCATATTACATTGTCTTACAGGTTTTTAGAATATTCATAAATTAGAATAAGCTTCTGTACAAATGCCTGTCACATCGTCGCTTCATAATATTTTATAGAAACCTGTAAGAGAGAGTAAACAGTGCCGATAAAAATTCGGAAACGCAGATTAAATTATTGGTTCCTTCTTTTTGAAGTAATACTCTCTAGCGTAAAAAGAGCTCGTACAATCATCCACATCAGTTGTTACTTACTCATACCACATTCACTTTATTTCAATAAGTATCATTCGCTGATACATTAATCGACCTTGACAACGCTGTAAATTTTGCGCACGAACCAAAAGCAGGCGAAGAAACCGATTGAACCTGTTCAATAAATAAATATGTGGTAACATTTTGTTATTAAAATTGGAATTTATATTAATAAGGACAAACGTTTTACCTGTCAACAGGAAGAATAAGAAAACCATAATACAAGTATAGCCAAAATAGAGGAACGTAGACGTAGCATCTTCGATGTCCAATTTAGTCATGAAGAAATGTATACAGTAAACTAATAAATAAAAAGCGGTAAAGCCCGATGTCAAGAAACTGCGCCACCACCAGTGGTAATCCTGAGAAAAAAGTAATTTACGTTCATTATATGTCGAAAATATTATTTTTCATTGCTGTCTCAAACAGTGATTGATTCCATTACCTCCGCGCAAAGATGGAAATAGCAAAGTAAAATCGTCGTTTCTGAGCATGTGATAACGAGAATAAGAAATACCAAGAAAAGAAATCCAAACATATAATATACTTGGCTCGACCTAAAAAAAAAGATTTATCTATATAGATACATTAAAAAAATGCCAAACATCGCGATGACGTTTTTTTCTTTTTTTTTTGTGTTAACTAAGGATCGAAAAACATTTATTATTTAGATTATTTGCAATTTTTTAAGTAGATTCATACGACATTATTTTTCAGTATCACCGACCGTCTAAGTAAATGATGGAATACATACTTACCACAAGGAATTAAGTATAAAGAATAATTGTATAAATATACACCCAAATGGTAGTACTCCTCCCATTATAACACCGGGTATTGGTTGTGTATAAAAACTTTGTTCTGGTATTTGTCTGGGAATCTGATTGGTCCTTACGGGATGCTCTAAAGACTGAAATGTAATTCAGATATGAGACAAATGTTGTTCAACGTAGAAACTAGAACATTTATAGCTTTTTGAAGAAAAATAATTCAATTACTCTTTTTCTAAAGCCAAAATAACCACCGATGAATGTCAATGGTAACGACACTCCGAACCAAAGAGCCAAAAGAGCGATAAGAGTACTGAATGGTACAGCGGCTGAACTTCCATTTGCCCAGAAAATCAAGTTCATTACAAAGAATAAACTGAATACAATTCTGTAAAAGAGAAACAAATATTTCGATAATATAGGAACAAATCTTAAGTTATCCACCCTATCAGTTCAATGTATTTTATTACCCAGGACTCAGCATGGATGTAAGTAATATGTTTGATTTCCATTTCTCCCCACCGAAGCTCTTATATATTCTGGTGGACACGTAACCGGCAATGATACCGAGGCAAACGTACAAAACCATAGCACAAGTCATTAATGCTCCTCTGTTAGCCGGGGACAAGAATCCCAAGCAAGCAAACGCTGTGAAAATGAGAAAACTTGTAAGTCATTTGTCAGACGATTCAGAAATACGGATCGCTAAATATGAATGGTAGAACTACCCAGTGTTACAAGTGTCATGCAAAATACTTGTACGCCAGAGCCAAGTAAAACAGAGAGTAGCATTCCCTTGCGAGGAGGTCGAAATACGTCACCGTGGACCAATTTCCAGCCAAACTCTTCCTGTGCGTCTTCTCCTGATTCTATCTGGAAACAGGCTTGGCTTTTATTATTGCAATAATGGTAAATCTATCAGAGATTATTTTATTAAAATCGTAAATGTGATTGCCAAATGCATGTAGATTCGTGCTTTAATTATTGCTGAACCGATGCGAACGACATTTCTTTCATTTACCTGATTATATCTTGCAATGTCCTTGTGCAACGTTCGAAGCATTATCATAGCGACCATGCCAGAAAGAAACAGAACGATTATCAATGAATTAAGAATACTAAACCACTGAATATTTGTGTGTGGCATGGATTCTAGAATGTAGTCCCATCTGGACGACCACTTGATCGAGCTATTCGGCTGCAACGAAAATCGAGAAAATTATTTCTCTCATTGTAAATTTAAAATCGATAAACCTACGTTATTATGCGATAGCTTACGTGAAACGTCACGGAATACGTATAGGTGACGGGTAAAACGGAATCAACACGAAGCGGTTCACGCGGTATTTCTAGAGGTTCTTTACTGTCGCAATTGGGGGTACTGCCGTGCTTGATACTGCGAGGAATCACTTTAACAGCTATTAAAAATATAAATCCGAGTTTGAGTGAAAAGTAAAAATTTTATGTGTACTATGTAAGAATAAAATTTTAATGATCTCACAGATTATTCGACCGCCATTTTCTTTAAATGCAGAGCCCCATTCCTCCTCGGCACCACTATGGTATTCGATCACAAGATCTACATGATTAAACAAGTAGTATGTGTCTCGTTTATTATATGCAACCTAACAAAATGAAACTGTATTAATCTCAAACAAAAATATATATATATTCATAATATCATATATTACAATAATAATACATACATTAATGCTGCAGGTATCTTGTTGAGATCTAGGTTCTGTACAAAAGCAGCCCATTGGAAATCCAGTACTACAATACTGTCGATCATCCTCTAACTGATAACACCAGGTAACTGGCATGTTGTCTGTAAAAGAAAATCATATTCATGAACTGCCTTTTTTGCTTTCTAGTTAATTTTATCTTGAAGATCATACCGACTATCCAGTGATGTTGATAGTTGAGTGCCATTCCTCTCTTTAAAAAATCTAACTTCTCATCCGATTCTTCATCTCCTCCCTTATATGTTTTCGTGCAAGCAACACCACATTGTACATTTTCTAAGAACGATATCTAAAAGCATCGATAGATTCTATAATTCTCTTTTCTTTTTTATTTAATCATAAAGTCTTATATATATATACCTTATAAGGGGAAGGTCTTATACGTTCACCAAAAACAACCTGTCCTAAATTTTCAACAGGACTCTGACTTTCATCGGATGGACAAAAATCAAAGCTAAAACAATATCGTTAAATTAATTTTAAATTCCATAGCGCTACAAAAAATAATGAAAATATCTTTGAAACAATGGAGAAAAGGAAACTTACTGATGATATTCGTATGGAATCACATATCTTTCTGTGTTCAAACGATTAACATATAGCTTAACTTCGGACTGAAAAGAATAAATGATATTTAGTACGATCAAGCATGTTATACATTTGGGAAATTACTACAACTACATGTCTGAAGTCTTTTGCAGGTCTAAAAGATATTGGTAAAATGCACGAACGCGGAATACGCGTGGTAGAGATTTTATGAAACCTTTTGTAGTTCGATTTGGATCTGCAATTAATGTCTCATAAAGAACCACGTCGAAACGTGTGCAAAATTGGTTCAAAATTAATATAGATGAAATAAATATTAAGTCGTAATCGATACTTATTTGATGTTAACAACGATTACCAATATGTATATAGTAATGAATTTAGGAAAGACAGTAAAAAGAGGAGGGAGAGCAGGAGAGAAATTAGTATAGGACCGTAAGCAATTATAACAAAATTTCAATGATAATCTGAGATACGCACTTTGCACGACTTTAAACTTTCGTCCTTCTTGCAGTAATTGACAGGCGCTAGACCTGGCAAATAGAAGGCCTGGCTGCTCTGGATTGTGCATAACACAGATAACAACCACACTAATGTCATTCTTTCCATCGTATTGCTATTGTTCATTCTAAATTTCCTTAACGTGGAAAACATCGGACACTATACTGCCATCACTGCCATAATACACGTCATCGACAAACATTATACACAGATTGCCAAGTACCTTTTCCGCGTGGCAGTTTCTTGCACGTTGACGCTAGCGCAGTCTTGCGATTTCGATGAATTTACCATCGGCATCAATTAGAATTAAACATTTCTTTTATCATATCAGTATTTATACACTCGTTATCGCATCTCTTACATGTTTAAATAGTTTTTAACTGTAACGTGTAGAGCTTACAATGGTTAAATAGATGGATTTCACTCGCGTTATAAAGCGATAATATTTTATGTGTATACGTAATCTGTACATGTACAATGTACATTTGGAAATATTAACTTTTGCTATAATTAATAGATCGAATCACACTTAAAACTTGTTATATCGCAGAAAAAGTTATAAATTGCACGAAAAACCTGGTTACAATAGTCGTTTCTTGTAATTTAACTTTTATAGCTATAAGTTATCAACGAAATGGATGTAGTATGTTTTATGGTTTTCAATTTGGTTCCGATTTAATAAAACTCCGCAAGTCATTTATAAATACATAGTACCCAATTTATTTAATTTTCTGAGGTTCGTGTAATAAAATATGTTCATATGAAAAAGACCTTTACCGTGTAAGATCTCTATATAATTATTATAATTTAGATTTATATTTAAAAATTAATTCTTCAAATTTTATTCAAATTAATAATATTATTTATATATATATATATAATCACAATAGTTGAAGATTTGCGCAATAGCTGTAATTGAAGCTACACAAATAATTTAATTTTGAAATGTAATTTCAAATATAAAATATAATGTGTAGCGGTTACTTTCTACGCTTGCTAGCAGATGGCTTCCTTTCCCACTGATCCTATCCGAATCGGGTAGAAATTTTTCCTACCCGATTCGACATCGATCCGCATTGTATATTAGTATCGTTCTCAACCTCAACTATCAGACAGCTGTTATTACGATATTTCCGAAATTAAAACATAGCTTTACATTACACACAACATAGCACTGCAATAGGTGAACATTTTTTGCTAACAATCATAACAGAGAAAATAGACTTCAAAATCATACATATAGATGTATATTCTATATCTATATTATAGAATAACGCTGTCAGAAGTGTTCTACAATTGTTTCGCTCACAGCCATTAAACGGATTGTCGCTTGATCGGACATTCATGCATTTGTAAAACAGATCAAGATCAGCTATTTTGAAAGGGGGGTGGGAAAGACGTCTGCCTTGTTTTCTTTTTTATTATTGTAATAACGTGAAGTCTATTCGATTCTTTCGGAATGTTTCATTTTGAGACAATGCATTAGAATCGTCGCGAAGCAAAAGCCAATTATTTGGAGAATTTTTGTACCATCGTAATAAATTATTATATTTTCGTTGGAGGTCACAGATCTCATATTTTTAACTTTTATTTTTTACAGTATCGCATAAAAATAAGAAACATTTCTTGAAATATTCTGTATTATACGATCGGCGAACGATATAGCGCGCGTAAGATCTCACGATATATACAATCCGCAATGAGAATATCGTTGAAAAAGTAGCCCTTCGAGAATTTCTTACAGTTTATTCAGCTTAATATTGTTCATTTTTCGAGTAATCAGATGAAGTTTTAATCTATCTCGAATATCTAGTTCGTATTATGCAACAGTAATTCCAGCTGTTTGAAGGTAGGTTCTTAGATGGTTCGCATTAGGTTCTGGAATTTGTCCAAGAAGGTTAGGCAACTGCCCCGGCGATAATCTTCCCAATCCTTGTGCTAAGTGCAGTCTCACGTCGCCGATAGCTACAACAATTATAATAAATATATTATATAATATAATATATATAATATAATAATGTAATATATATAATATAATAATATAATATATATAATATAATAATGTAATATATACAGGGTGTTCCACAATTATTTTAACAGCCGAAAATGAGGGGTAGCTGAGGTCATTCGAAGTAACTTTTTCCTTTGCGAAAATGCAATCCGCGGCTTTGTTTACGAGTTATTAACGAAAAACACTGGCCAATGAGAGGTGACGGTGCGAGAGAGAGGGTCCGCGAGAGAGTCCGCAGCACGAGGCTTTGACAGAAGGTCGGGACGGACTCGAGCCGCGTTCGAAGTATTGAACAAGTCACGAAGCGAGAACTTTCCGGATTTTTGATAATATTTTTCATATCTCTCTAATAAACAAATCCTTTACGTCCCTTATTTATTATTAAATCAGCTTTGCAAATCATTCGTTAATCTTCACTGTACACCTTGCATAAAAATTTCATA